TGTCAATGGAAAACTATAATATGACTCTATTTTTAACAAAGATCAAATGTTCACGCCCAATGAATGTCAATGGAAAACTATAATATGACTCTATTTTTAACAAAGATCAAATGTTCACGCCCAATGACTGTCAATGGAAAACTACAATATGACTCTATTTTTAACAAAGATCAAATGTTCACGCCTAATGACTGTCAATGGAAACTACAATATGACTCTATTTTTAACAAAGATCAAATGTTCACGTTTGTAAAATGATTGGGACTTTGAGATGGACTTTTTTTTTTTTTTTTTAATAGATGGGTCTATTTCAGTCAATGTACCCACGGGTTGTCAACGCCCATGGACTATATTTTCTTAACTGGTATAAGGAAAAAATAAAATTTTCTAAAGAAATAGAACACTTTTTTGTTTTTGTTTTTTTGTCCCGACTGTAATATCATATGATTTAAAGAGATTTTCATCCACATAATTATGTACGCGCTCTTATTCCACCCCCACACCACGTGATATATGTTTACAGAAGATGATTCATTATTTGTCAAAATCACTCCTTAGTTCTTAGGGGTATCTTGTGCTGACTGGGGAAAGTTAAAGTATCACCCACCCACCCACAAATAGTTTTTAATGAGCATCAATAAAATCATTGTTGCCCCCCTTACGCTCGTTGCCAAATATTTTTTTTTTTTTGTTGCATTTTCTTATTCATTTCAAAGGTTTTTAATCGTCATTTTAAAAAAAATAAAAAAAATTCATGTATCCATTTTTATAAAATCGCAATTTTGGATTGAAAAATAAAGAAAACCTTGTTAAATGTTTAAAATACACGGCTAAATTTGTTGTTGTCTATTAACAATATATATATTTTTTTTTTTTTAAAGGTGGGAAGAACGATTATCAGTTTCGCAACACGCGGTTATTAAATCAGAGCTCGTTAAATATTGTGATTTGCGAGTTTGTATCAAGATCTTAAGGGGTCGTTCGCAAATTACGTCACGCTTAAAATGAATTTTTTTAGACACCCCCCCCCTCTTCCCCCTCTGTCACGAAGTGTCACAAATTCTTTACTTCAG